AGGTTTCAGAAGTTGTTTGGGGTTTTGAAAGGAACAAGATAACATTTAAATCTAGGACATTGTATGCTCTTCCTCCCACACCGTCAGGCCCCCAGAAATCGGACTAAATGTTGCACAAGCACCAGCAGCAGGGAAGGTGAACCTGGAGACACCCCAGCCTGAGGCCTGGTTGGAAGGCAGGCAGGCAGGCAGTCCACCTGGAACTCGGGCCCTCTACTCCCCCTTCCCCTCCAATACTGGGGATTGCTGAACCCAAGGCCTTCATGCTGAGTACATTCTCAATATATTTTTTTGCTATTGTATTATTTTGTGAAGGTGTCTTATTTAATTGCCAAATTGCCTAGGCTGGATTCTAACTTGCAAGTCTCCTGCTTCAGCCTCCCAGAGTGCTGGCATTAAAAGTGCGCACCACCAAACCTGGCTCCTTGATTCTCTTTAACTTCTGTGCCATGTGGAACTTTCTGAGATAAAACTGTCTTACTCAATTTTCTTATCAGTCCTGGTTCTGCATACCTCATATACCGGCATTCCCACTGTACTGCCAAAGTCATCTTCTCCAGGATTGGATTTTCTGACCTGCAAAATGGGTTCCATGGGAGCAGTAGCCTCCTGAGCCACTGTGTCAACCTCCTGCAATAAAACAGATGTGCTCCTCACACAATGTCTAGCATCAAAAGTGATTATCGATTGTTACTCTCTCTCTCCCATTTCTTAACCTTATGGGACCAAGGCTTGGTTAAGGAATTTGCCTGAGAACCACTACGTTGACAAGGTGGAGTCTAGAGTGGCATCAGGGCTCCTGGCTCCAGTCCGGCACCTGTTCCCAAGGAGCTGAGATGGCCTGCCATGGTGACAACCACACAGTTCCTCCTCTGTCCAAGGGAGGAAGATGTAATTAATGCCTGCAAGAGATTCCAGGTGTTTAGATGAAAGGAAGCTCCAGTCTGTCATTACCCAGCATTTTTGGCTTATCACTGCCTTTGAACTTTATTCTGGTGGAAGAACATGATGGTTCAGCCAGGTTGGGACCAGGTGGCCAGCCCACTGGGCCCTCAGCTTACCTTCACCCTTGCCAGCCCCACGCTTCCCCTGCAGATCCTCCTCCGGCTGGCAGGATGGCCTCCAGGCAAAAAAGCCCACCCTCCCTAGTCTTCTGAGTGACATCTGCGGTGGGCGGACTGGAACCTCCTATACCCTCCCCCTAAGCTGTCTTCTTCCTATGTAAGATTGCCCTGTTTTGTACCTCTCGCTGCTTTGCTCTTTAGAAGTGTCAAGACTCCTGGGAGGGGAGGGGTGGCACCACTTAACGCAAAGGCATGAGCCTTTGTTTCTAGAAGGACCAGTGCAACCTACCACAGCTGAGAAGAGAAGGGGATGAGCAGGGGGAAGCAGAGGCCTCAACACAAACATCTCCTCCCTCACTTTCATGGAGAAGATGAGTCACTGAAGACATGAATCAGATTTATTCTCGTGGCTTATAAAATAAACACCACAGGGCCAGTGTGACCTGACAGCCTGTTCTTATCCACAGAGGCCTACGGTCTCAACTGAAAAAAGAAAAGACAGCACGTTCCCACCCAGATGATTGTGTCATCCCAAAAGGGTGACACCATTAGACTTGCTCTCTCATGGCAAGAAAGATACTCATGACCCTGGGCTCCTATTTCTGTGTCACTGTTGGCCTAGGTGGGGTCATCGTGGCAACTGGAAGGGAGCAGGTCAGGGAACAGTAGGATTATAGGAGGAAGGTGAGTGAGTACAATGGGAGAATTCTCTTGACATCTGTTTTCCTCACCCTTCCAGCCATGCATGGAAGTCCCGAGGTACAGAAGATGCTGAGGTGTGGGAAGAGAAGAGCTGCGTGAACAGTCTGTCTCTCAGAGTGTTGCTACCCAGAGACTGCCTTCCATCTCATCTGACTTTATGAGATGAGGGTAGGAACTCGAGAATACAATTTATGGATTCCAGGAAGCACATATTCACTAAAATTCCCCACTGCTTTTTACCAAGTGTGAACTTCTGCCATCTAATTACCACTTATCACTTATTCCATTTATTTACCTCTCAATGGCATCTATGCAGACTCGTGTTTGAGCAGTAACATTAAGCCGTTCCTATCAGCAAGCTGAAAGAACCCTGTTGATAGGATGGGAGCTGGGTGAAATTAGACTGTCCTGACGGGAGAGAGGGGCAGCTGTATGGCATAATGATAAATCTGCCAGACCAGAGGCAGAAATCTGTTTTCCACCTTGCTATGGGTTGGACTATGTCCTCACAGAAGGTGTATTTGAGTCCTAATCCCCCTATCTCAGAATATGAACTTCTTTGTAAATAGGACCATTGCAGATGTGGTTAGTTAAGATGAAGTCTGACTGGAATAGGTTGGGTCTTTAATTCAGCACGACTGCTGTCTTTATAAGAAAGAGAGATGGGAAAATTTAGGGTAGTGCACCGTAGGACAACACAAAAGCATCCAGACACAGAGGGAAGATGCATGTTCGGGTGGCAGCAGAGACAGTATTGATGCAGTCACGAGCCAAAGGACCCCTGGGCCGTCAGAACTGGAAGACGTAGGGATCTTTCCCTACAGACTGTGGGATGGACCAGAACTGTCAGAGAATAGATTTCTGTTGTTGAAAGCCACTCACTTTGTGGAATTTTTAGAGAAGCCCTAGGAAATGAATGCACACACTTACCACAGCATCTAACTCACCAAACGGCCTGAACAAATGTTAGTGAGTGTCCTTCAGGGTTTCTGTATAATAAGGCAGTCAGACTAGATAAAAGAGGATCCCTTGCACTCTAGTAACAGCTAAAGGATTATTCTAAGGTTAGGAAACTAGTTCATTTATTCAGCTAATAACCTTTGGGTATGTTCTATGCTAGGCTTGGGTGATGACCCAGTCTCTGCTGTCAGGGAGAGTATGTCCTTGTCACTCAGAGGGAAGCTGGGGCCATTGAAAGAACTGGACTTGAACTAGGAGGTCCCTCAGCACAGATTCTAAAGTGCTCAGAGGCCAGAGATAGGCTGAGAGCTGAACTTCTACATCTAAAGATTTCCCAAGAAATTAAAAGGGAAATTAGCTTCATGATAAATTGCAGTGGTTGATGCTGTAGTTTGGATTTTCAGTGTCTCTCAGGCCCAGTTCTAAAGGTACTACTGTAATGTAGTGGAACCATTGGAAGGTGGAGCCTAGCTGGAGGAAGTTAGATTAGAGAGGCTGTGCCCTTGAAGGGATTATTGAGATTCTGGCCCTGCTTCTTCCTCCTTTCTTTACTTTCTGGCCACCATGAGGTGAATAGGTCACCTCCACCTGACACTTTTCCATGACGTACTGATCTGCCCCAGATTCAAAGCAGCGAGACCAAGTGACCATGGACTGAAACCTCTACACTCTTAGCCAAAATGAATCTCTTCCTTTATTAAGTTGATTATATCAGGTATTTTGTCACAGTAATAGAAAGCTGACTAACATAGTTGAAGTTTAGGAAGGTGTTTTGTTTTTTTTTGTGTTTTTTTTGCTCGGTTATAATTTTTTGGCCTGTGATTGAATTTTCTTCATTCTTCTAGATATTTAGTATAGAGCATGCTTTTTTGAAATAATAGCATATTTTTAAAAGTACTGTAGAAAAATAAGAGGCTAGGATTTGAGGGGTAGGAGAAGGTCTTGTCTTTATTTTCTAAGCTTTACCATTCATCCAGGTAGCCAGAAAGGTACATGGTAAACAGAGGCAGCAGCCAGGAGACTCCTCTTGCTAGGGGAAATTAATCCATTGAATAAATTAATTTTTGTTTTATCAGTGCACATAGTTCCAAGCATCAAACTGAACTGAAATATTTATAGCAAAATACAACTCCCTGCCCCACCTCACCCCAATCTAACTCTCATTCCCATCCCTAGAAGATATCAGTTCAACAGCTATTTTCCTGGGCTTGTTCATCTCTGTGTTTCTAAATCCCATGCGTATGCTGCTATCTTCTGCTTGATTTCCTGACTTCCTATTATGGTAGATGAGGATCTAGTTCTCTTCCACTCTTATCCCGATCCTCCATTTCCTGTCTCCTCCTCCTCACATAGTTATTATAGTCTTTGGTCAGATCAATAGTCTGTTTACATTACTAGGCCTAGACAAATATTATTCACAGATGAGCAGTGTAGTGCTCTACCTTGTTTCCTTTCTTAATTTTTGTTTTATCTATAGGTAATAATTACCTTCTTTTTCACTTGCTTAATTTTGGTACTTCTTGCTAATTCACTCCAAAACCTCCAAAGTATTCTCAGAACAATTTTCTATGTTTTGCTTCCTTTCTTTTCCTTTCCTTTTTCTTCCCTTCCCTTCCTTTCCATTCTCTTTCTTCCTTTTTCTTTTCTCTCTTCTCCCCCTTTTCTTTTCCCTCTCCCTCTTCCTCCTCCTTCCTGTCTCCTCTCTCTCCCTCTGATGTTATTGGAAATATACCTCATGAAGACCTGCTTTCTCTTACCTGAGGTGGTTGCTCCCTGTGCCTGCTGCATAGCTGCCTTCCTGGGACTGGTCTCTCTTCATTGGCATCCTTGAAATTACTGTTCAATTTCCCTTTATATTGGGTTCCCTATTTCTTCGACATCTTCTTCTAGCTTAATATCTCTAAACTAGCTATCTGGAGTACGTGCTCCAGTTGCCTCATCTGGTTAAAAAGAAAGAGCAGCAATGAGGGCACAGTGAAGGCACCCTCACAGAGCCTGGACTTTAGTGACACTGCTGCAACCTGGACCAGATGCCCTGCACACCTCTCTCCCTGAGATTTTTGTTTACCGTATTCTTGATGATTTATTTCACTTCTTTCCTGGCTTGAAATTCATTTTATCTTATTTCATTCTTTTTCTTACCATACTTCCAGTTGCTTTCTTTTTTTTTCTTTTTCTTTTTTTTGGTACCAGGGATCGAACTCAGATCCTTGTGCTTGCAAGGCAGGCAACGGAACCACTGAGCTAAATCCCTGGCCCAGATGACTTTGGCGGGTGGGTACTAGGGCTTGAACTTGGGACCTTGCACTTCTGAGGCAGACTGCAGCACCACTAAGCTAGATCTTCTCTGCCCTCCAATCGCTTTCTGAGAAAGAATACATAGAGATAGGTCTTTTGAGAATTTGCATGTCCAAAGATATCTTTGTCATGCCCTCAAATTCCTTGATTGTTACTTGAGTAGATACTGAATAGTTTCTCTGGTGTGAAAAACTGAATGTGTAAATAAGGTTCAAATGGTAAAATTGGGAGTGTGAAACAGGAAGAAAATAGGTAAAGGGGAAGTGGAAAGGGGAGGGGAAAGGAAATAAGGGAAAAGAAAAATTTTAAAAAAGGAAACAAAGTCTTTGTAAATAGGGAAGGGTGAGGGGGGTGAAGGGAGGGCAGAAGTACAAGGGAGAAAACAAGAACCAAAATATATCAAAGGTACAAGATCCCAAATGATAAATGTAACTGTATTGTTTGCTTTAAATGTATCAATAAATTTAATGGGGAAAAATTTCATTGATTGTTGGTTGACTATAGGATTCTAGGTCAGAAAATATTTTTTTAATAACTTTTCACATTTGAAGGACATTTCTCCACTACTTTTTCTATGCTTTAGATTTTGAAAGCCCTATAAAGGCCCATTTTCTTAAAGCCTGTTTCCCAAAGTGATGCTGTTGGGAGAAGATGGAACCTTTGAGAGTTGAGGCCTAGGGGAAACTCTTTAGATCATTAGGGGAATGCACTTGAAGGAGGTTGTGGGACCCGTGTCCTATTATTCTTCCTCTCTTTGCTCTACAACTTGCTATACAAGCCTTTTCACTCTGTGTGCCACACATTCTTATCATGATGTGCTGCTACTCATCACAAGCCTAAAGCAGCAGAGCCATTTGTCATGAATTGGAAACTTCAAAACTGAACCAAAATAACACTTTTTCTTTATATGATAATTACCTCCAATATTTTGTTCCAGTGACGGAAAGCTGACTAACTCAACCTTTGTGCTTCCAGTATTGCTATTTAGAAGACCAAAGCAATTCAGACTCTTTCTTTTTATATAATAATAGTATATTTTTCCTCTGGAAGCTTATAAGATCTTGTCTTCATTCACAGAGTTCTAAGATTTCACAATGGTATGACTTGTGTTTTTAGTTTTAATCAATTTGCTGAGTTCCCACTGGGCCCTTTGAACCTGGAAAGTCGCATCCCTTAGTTCTGGGAGATTTTCTTTAACTATTGTTGGTGACTTATTTTCTTCAGCCATTTTTTAACAATTACCATTGGTTGTATTTTGGTCTCTTGTGTTCACCTTCCAGTGGTCTTTGGTTATTTTGCTTACTTTCCATTTCTTTGTTTTTTGGTTCTGTTTTCCAGGAAGTTTCTTCCATTTTAGCTCCAAGTTCTTCTATTGAATTTCTCATTTATGACATTATATTTCAATTTAATGAGCTTTTTGTTCTTTTCTGATTTTTTTTAAAATTTGAGACATCTTGTTATACTGCCCAGCTTGTCTCAAACCTGAGAGTCTCTCATCTCAGCCTCCTGAGTAGCTAGGATTACAGATGTTGTTTTGAATATTTTATTTCTTTTTAAAAAACAGGACATTGTTCATACTTCACTGATGAAATCTTTCTTCTTCTCCAGGAATATTAATGATAGCTGTTTTTGTTTGTGTTTAAAATTGTCTTCTTCCTGCATCAACTCTATTTTCTCTAGGCTGCTGATCACTTTTTGCTTCTTTGGGCCTCTTTATTCTGTATTAAAGATCTTCATCAAATGTCTGGCGTACTTCTACTTTCTGCTTTTGACTAAAATTGAAGTCTGAAAAGTTGACTAGAAGTTCTGAGTGGGTGAGGACCTTGACAGATTAGAGCTTTACTGTGGAGGTGATTTGAAGGGCTTTGTGTTGGGAACTTCTTTCTACTTGGGCTGTTCTTGTTCCCCAAGAAGACCCTCCTCTTCTGTCTGAAGGCAATGTTCTGGATGCTGACATTTTCAGAAATGAGTGGCAGGTCTGAGGTCTTGGTGTTCAGTTGTATTTGCCTGCTCAATATCTCTGTTTTCTGTTTAGTGTCCATACGTCCCTCTGTAAAAAGTGTTTGTCTCACTACAGAACAATCTCCAGTTTTCTTCTAAGTTGGGGAAAGGGCAGTCACCAGGAGTGTAGAATTAAGAAGGGAATGCAGAAATTGAATCGCTTCTCTATAACTTTCACTCCATTCTAAAAAAAAAATTGAGCACCTTCTTTATTTCTTGTTCTGGCAATTTCCACTGCTGCCCATTTCTGAGCCCTTTGAGGAGTCCATGTAGTCAACCAAGTTGATTGTTCAATTTATCTGCAGATGACTTAAGATTCAGCTTGGCCAGACCTACTAATCTCTGTCACCACTCACATTTCTGCTTTCCAGCTTCAAATATCTTGTAGCTGTTGTTTCTTCTCTTTCTTCCTGTCTTTGTGAGTTTATGTTTTTGTTTATTAAAATTTCTTACCAAGGAGAAACATTAGCTGTATTATATTCAATCAAGCACTTTTACTTGGTGGTCCTCTGGGTCTCATTTTCCAAACTCAACATTTACTTATTATTTATTATGATCCAAGTAGTCATCTGACTATGTACAATAATAACTCATGTAATCTTCATATCAATCTTAAGAGTTAAGTATTATTGTTATTAGGGCTGGTGATGTGCTCCATGTTAAAGAGCTTTTCTAGTGTACCAATCCCCAACCAATAAAAAAGCATTACTCTTACTAAATGGAGAAACTGAGGCACACAGAGGTTATATAAATTGTATAAGTACTCCCAAATAATAAGTGAAAGGGCTGGGATTTAAAATCAGGAACGTAGCCCCACTTCTGTACACTGTCTCACCTGAGGAATGACACTATTGCTCTCTCTTATCTTCTAAAGTGTTGTTATCAAAAGACAAAGAGGGATCTGCTTGGGATTCCCTTCCAGATCTCTCACCTCATTAAATGATATCTTTGTTTATCCCTTCTGTTGTGTGTCAGACACTGTACGATTCTCATTTAAGGCTTGTAGCATTCTATGTGGTAGGCATTAATGAGAACATTATGCAGATGAGAATACCAGAGCTCAAAGATGTTACCCATAATTTGCTTAAGTTTCTTGTATAACTGGAAAAGCTAAAATTCAAACCAAATTTTGAGGGATATCTGTCAAAAATAGAGACCAGAGCATGTATCTTCACTCTCTTTCTTTGAGTCTAAATATTTAGCAAAGAAAATATTTTTGGTGCATTATTTTGGTTTTCTTCTTCAAGGCTTCCAATTCTGTGTGCATTGGATCTCGTCTGTATCCTGAACTTCCAATTTTCTCTCTAATTCTTTCATTTCAATATTGCTTGATTTTCTCATTTCAATATTTTATGTCTCTCTTGTTTTCCATAGTGTTTATTTCCTTCACTTTATTCATAGTATTACTTCTTTCTTTCATTTCTTTTTTGAACTCTATCACCTTTATCTTTTCCTGTTTTGTTTTGTTTTTTTTCATAAGTTCTTACATCTCTTCTTTTCCCTCTTACTTTATAAGGTAAGTACCCTTTTTGCATGTTTTTAAAATTCATGGTGAAAAATCTTAAATCCGCTTATGACAATAGCTTCAAACTCTTTATCTGTCATCTATTTTTTTCTGTTTCCTTCTTCTTCATTTCTTCTAGTGGTTTTGTATTGATTCTGTGCTTCCTTATCTTAACTTACTCATCATTAGAAAGGTGATTTTTTTTTTGCTGAACCAGCTAGTTAAGTGAGATTCCCATGTTAGTGGGGACCAAGGCCATGTCCCACACTAATAGGGTGTGTTTGTTTAGCATTTATTGTTTCCCAGCTAATAAAAGGGGTTTATTACAAGGCCTCTTTTTTCTTCATTGCAAAAAAAAAAGTAGAGCACTTTCTGTAATTATGGTTTACTTCTATGATTTCTTGTTCTAGCTTCTTTGAATTTTGGAACAACAGTAGATATAGGGATGCTGCATCCTTCAACATGGTTAGAAGAAGATAATTGGTTTTGTCTGCCAAGGGTGCCCTTCATCTTTAATAGGAATGGTATTGCTGGTTTTTTTCCTGAGACCTGAGCCATGGCCCCTTCTGTCTGCAACATCCCTACTCTACCCAGACACCACTCCAGCAAGCTACCTGTTTGTGGCAGTACTTTCACTTGACACAAAGAGTGGCCGTTTTTTTGTTTTTTATTTTTTTGCTATTTATAAGTCTGTTAAAATGGAGTTTGCATTTCCGTTTCTCTTTGCACTTATTACCTTTGGGTGAATTCCAAGAAGAATGAGGGAGAAAGGTAACTTTGAGCAACCATCTTCCAACCAAGCACCCATTCTAATTGCTTTTCAGGCTTGTTGCACAACTTCATGTTTACTGAATTCTGGTTAGATTGCCATTTATATCTCCCGTCTTGCTCATTTCTGTTTGGCTTTTCTCCCTTTTCTTTTTTTTCCTTCTTTTTTTAACCATTGTTTTTGCTGGGTTTTCCTCAAGAAGTATACACAGGAGGTAAATTTTCTATGGGTTTGTGTTCACTGAGAATTAAGTTTTAAGACAGGACGAAATGTAACTACAGGAAGAAACAGGAAAGGAGCTGGGTGAGGCTTGGAGAGCTGTGAAGCCCGGATGCAGGCTTGCCCCTGGGTGTGTAAGGGAGAAGAGAAGGCTGGGTGGAAGCATTTTAGACTTCAATTTAGTCATGGGGAAGATTTAAGAAAGTCCTTAGAAGGTTTCCTGTCTCCCCAGGATGCATCTCCCGCGGTGTTGCCACTGGATAGACACTGACTGGGAACTGACAATGTCAGTGGATCTCAGGGACAAAATGGGACCCTTCCTTCATCCTTGACATCCCCCACAGGATTTTCAAGTGCATTCTCATGGCAGCCATAGACACTCTGCTTCACATTTCTACAGAGATTTTATTTCATCCTGATATTTGATTGCTCTATTAGCAAGATGAAGAATTTTAGATTCAAAATAGTCTTCCCTCCATATGTGGCAAGGGTTCGATCCATTGTCTTTTAGATTCCAGTTGCTAATGAGAAGTCAGATAGCAATGTAACTTCTGAGGTTTAAAGAATCTCTTTC